CTAGTTGTTTTTTTGTCGAAAAGTTTGTTGCCAATTTAGTTTTCTTGTTTCTATAGACTTCTAAAGTAAAAGTCTTGCACATTCTAGAAACAAAGGGAAGAGCCCCTGTTTTGCTACTGTTTTTAAAGTAAGTAAGGCCCTGAGTAGCGTGTATTTTGTCTTTTCAAAATTACCTTTTTTTCTAAATATGATGGTCAGGAGAGAGAGATCATCGATCTTTTCTTTAGTAAGTTTATAAAATTTATATATCAAGAAGTGTGCAACTTAGTAAAGTAGATAAGTTGTCAACTTTTTAAGTGATAAGTTGAGTATTTAAATCCCATTAACAGCAAAAATTTGAATAATTACCTATATAATATTTGTATTACAGCAACTGTTTTTAATAATTAAATTAAAATATTTGTAATAACAATTATATTAGCATAACTGGCAGTTTATAAAGCATCTGTATAAGTATAGCATTATATAGAAGAATGCAAACTGGCATTGAGTAATGCAAACTCTAGATAAGTTTTTGTAATTGTATAAATTTGTTAAAATTAGAAAACAAGAAGTTTATTTAAAAAGATCCAAGTAAAGAGATAGTACAAATTTTTAATAATGCTATTGTAAAAGCTAAATCTAGAAAATAAATATTAAGGTTATAATACTCAGATAGGCAAAAATCTTTAGATTGAAAGTCTCAGAAGTACCACCAACCAAGCTGTCAGAATAAACCAGAAGAAAAAATATTAGACTAATTTAATATACTGATAAACTGATAGTAATTCTATATAGACTATCTAAATTAGAAGTTTAATAAAAAGGCAAAGATATACTAAAGTATTATGAATATACTGTAAAATAAATGCTAGAGTTTAAGTAAACTCTACAAGTACATAGTAGTTAAATGCTATAACTTTAATTGCAAGCATTAGTTCTGCTATAGCAATACTGAGTTAGCTATAAAAATAGATGCAAAAAGCTCTAGAAGATTTATTTTAAAAATAAAATAGTTCTAAAGTTAAGACAATAACCTGAACTTGACTTAGTAATATTAACACAGATGCAAGTTTAAAGAGTTTAAAATAGAACATCCAAGTAGAGATATTAGATACAGCAATTAGTAAAAAACCTTTAAACAGACTTCTTAAATAGATAATATAGAAAAGTTATATATGTAGCCAATTGTATACTCTTTGTAATAGTTTATAGAATCATATTATCAAAAAAGTTGTTAATAAAAGTCAAAAAACTAAAGAGGTCATCTTAATACCAAAAAAAAATAAAATAAAACTTATATATTAGCTTATTTGTACTTAGAGTTAGGGAGCTGTCAAATATCAGCTGATATCATAGAATAGAGAGGGGTATAAAAATATCTCAGGTTTAATTTTGGCTAGCATTAGTCTATAATTCTGGCCAACTATGTAATCATTCTTTTAGCCAATTGACATTCAGTATATATTATGTGATCATATCATAATTAATATGATTGGTTAGAAATCATGCAGGTACATATATATGAAATACATCATTGGCTTAGATCTTTTATTTAAATTGCAATTTAATTTTAGTTTATTTGAAAATATATGTTTGAAACACAAAGTGACAAGACTATAAAATATAATATAGTTTTCTCTATACTTTATCTTACTTTATTCAAGATCTTGTTGTCAGAAACTTAAATTTTCAAAACCGGATTTTTTTTTTCTTTTGTAATATGCACAGTCTCTATTCTACTACTCGTCGTCTGAAACACAGCCACGATTGTTAGTTTCTGGTATAGTTGAAGTCAAACTAAAGCTAAAATCGGCAAGTGAGTTTGAAAGTATAGTGCATTTATGTTTTTTTTGTTTCATATGTTCAGATTTTTTATGAGTTGTGACCATCTTGAGCATAGGGAAATATTTTCCACAGAAAGTGCAGCAGAGATGATGATGCATTTCAGGTGAAATAAATGGACAATGGGCATTATAAGCTGGGAATTTTAATATATCAACATACTGTAAGATATGAACTAGATTAAGGTAATGTCCATTCCAGCCTTTTGAAACTGGTGAAAGAAACCCATCATTTTCTGCAAGAAAAGCAGCAGATTCTTCATGTCTTTTAGGATGGCAACAAGTCAGATCATCACATTTTCGAATATTGAGGCTATACTGACAAATTCGCATATGCCTTTCTAGCCATTTCCAAAAAGTCATTGACTCTTTTCATTGTCTTCTATTTGAAATGGCAGAAGGTTATCTTTAACATACTGGGTCATAACATTCTTACCAAAAATTAAGTCTCTGCCCCAGAGTGTACACAAGGTTTCTCCAGTATGACGAAAGTTTTTTTTGGCAAGTTCTTGGTTAATAACTTTACTCTGACTATCCAAGCAAAAACCAAAGGTATCTATTGGTAAAGTTATATCTGCAAGCTTTCCAGAGAGTATGCACATGGCCTGTTTAACAGGATTATAGGCCAACTGGCCAGAAGCATGGATTCTTACTATGAGATAGTCAAGATCAAGAAATTGAAACAATTTACAATATCGACAAATGTTTTTCAAATGCCTAGGATTTTTGTTAGGCCCCTTGTTAACGAGAAGAACCCAAATTAGTTTAACATGATTATTATTTTTAAAAACATTAGTAAAGGATTCTTGGTTGGTAAGTTTAATTAAATCTGCCATATGTGTATTAGAACTTGTGCTGATATTATATTGGGGATGAACAAAAATACTCAACTGCCTTTGCGAAGTGTATCATTAGAATCTAAAGGGTCAATGGCAAGGTATATGGTGAGAATAAGTTTTTGATGAGCTTCTATAGAAAATTATGATTAGCAAGGATGACAGTTTTATGAATAGTTTGCATTGTTTAAAAAGTTTTGCCAACAGCTGGAATTTCAAATAAAACCTTTGCTTTGTCATCTTGTGAGATGACAACAGAATAATAGAGAAACATTGCAGCGAATTGTCTAACATCTTTAACTGAAGCAAGGCAATAGTATTCATCAGTGTGTTCTTTTTTTTCTGATCTAGAAACATTTGTAATAGCTACTAAGGCAGGATGGTGGTGCACTCTTGTGGCAATACTTGAGGAGTTTCGAAGCAAAAGGTAATTATTAAGTGTAGTCCTTGAAAGATATTTATTATATTTTTTTCTAGTGCTGAACAAAGATGGCTAATCATTCTTACTTTAATAATTTCATGCCTTCGTTTGCTATGTGCCTTTCCAAACTCAATACAATTGTGTATATGCTCATAAAGATCTGAATAATTAAAAAGAAGAGGTGGTCGACCAGGGCTATTATATACTACAACTTCCTGATTTTCATAAAGTCTTTTCAATTTTTTTGCATTTGATTTTGCTTGATAGGCTGCATTATGTTTTAAAATACTAATTTTTTTTGTTTCTTCTTTAATTATTCATTTTACATCAAGAATTTGATGTAATATATCATTTTTGAGCTGAAGATTACTGGTTGCTTCGTAAATTGCTTTCAATTCAACCAATTTTTTAGCATTTTCCTTTTTTATAGCAAGTAATTTTTTTTGTACTGCTGCATTTTTAGAGACCGTTTTATCTACAACAATTGTGATAGATGACATGGATATTGTTTCTTAGACTGATAATACTTAATTTGAATTACAAAATGGTTGAGAAACATAAGATTGTATAGGAATAGATGTAGTAAGATATTCTCTAATCTTGTCATCAATTTCATTTTTCTTTTTTTTTTTAACAAGCTTCCACGCTTCTGTGACTTTTGTGCACAGGTTTTTTTTTGGATATGATGGATTTCCTGTTTTAATCATACGATAGTATCCAAACATATTTGTAAAATAATAATATTATGTTTTTGGATTTTTGTAGATAGATTTTTTATCATATTTTGGTGTGGCAAAAAATTGTTGCATTTCATATAAAGTGGTTGCAGATATCAATATTTGACATTAATGATTTAGGGAGGTATTTATTTTTATGTCTTTATACTGGTTTGTTTCAAGTACTCACAATTTTTTTATTCTATAATACGCTTTTGTATATATGTATAAGGAAAACAACTATCTTGACACAGGTTTGTAATCCATTTTTATTATTCGTTTATTATATCATTTACAAAATAAGATAAATGATCTTTTGATTTATTTTTATTTAGCGACAAATATATATTTGATGAAATTGTATATTGTAATAAATTAAAATCTCATAACACTATAATTATAATTGAATGATTTATTTAATATTGATTTATTACATAAATTGATCTATTTAGATTACTGCATCAGAAGATTTGTTACAATACCAACTTCTCCAGATCATGTTTATAAATAGAAGCCTTTTTAGAAAATGTGATTGTAAATATTTTTAAGAGCAAAGCCACAGGTCATATTGCTAGTTAGTTGATTACATTTCATATTAACAATCTGATCACGTTAATATAATAGATGCGAATTGGGTTGTATGCAATGTTTAAAATTGGTATGCAGAATATGCAGTGCATATATTAAAAATTTATTTTACAAGTATTTTTTTTTAAGTACATGCGGATTCTGCAAATATAAAAAAAAGGTTTCACAGATTTTCTGCATATTATACAATCTTTTTTATCCCACAGATTTAATATAAAATGAATCTACGGATATTAAAGATTAGAATTGATTGCTATAAATTTGGTTTAGTAAGTTCGGACATGTTAAATTTGAATAATTTAAAAAGACATTCTTAATATTTATATAAAACTATTCCTTGTGAACATTATTTTTTAGATTAAAGATAAATCAATTTGTTCATACAAACAAATAATAGACATAATAATTTTATAAGTCAAATATGACCTGGTTTAGTAACTTAGTAACTTCTAATTACTAGATATACTAACTTGACAACTCCAGTACGTAAGAAAGCTAATATGTATTTAATAACAAATAATTTGAGTTTAAATTGCTTTGTTGTAAAACCAGAGATGGTTTTACTAAAGATTTATTTTGGAATTCATGCAATAAGTAGGCAAATACTATTTTAATTATAAAAGTTAAAGATACTGATGAAATTCTTAGTGGATATAATTTGTTGCATAGAATTAGTCAAGTTACTGAATAAATTGCTTTGAATCATATAAATATACAATTTATAGTTACTTAGATTATCAGATGATTTATTGTAATTTGTGTTAACAAAGGACCATTATTGCGAAATCAGATAACTTTATGAGTCACATGTTCAAATTAATTGTTTTATCCTTTTATGACTGTTTTGAAATTATTCCTGGGTTATCTTGTCAGGTGCAGGTATTTTTTGGTTATGATTACTTTGCATATGATTATTCTTATATTGCTAAGGCATTAGCAAATTAGTAATAAATTAAGAAGTAAGAAGTAAATTAAACTGGAAATAATAGAAGTATCATATATAATCATATGAAATTAGGAGGGTAGAGCAGGCTTTTGTAGTAATCGTGGAATTTATTTAAAGTATTTTTTTGTTGTTGGAGGAGGGTACCTTTCTTTTTGCTATAGCTCACCTTTAGTATAGGATGGCTCTATCATCCTTCCCTTCCCTCTTATATAGTAATGGCCTAACAGTTTAGGTTAACAAAAGGCTTTACAGCTGCCAAAGCAGTGCAAAGACATTATAGTAAAATTTTAGGCTCTGTGGCTATAAGAGCAGTGCAAAGACCTATTATTACTTATGATTCAGGCTTTGCAAGAACCTTCTGTTTTAGATAACCAATCTCACGTCACCCTTTTAGAGCTTTATAACCAATTCTTCTTTACTTATATTGTTTTCTTCTCGATGACCTTCCTATTATATAAGGATGCAGCTAGATCATTTTGGTTAAAATATTGTTATCTCTAGATAGTATATTATCTATATGTTGTATAGAGCCTAATTAGAATAGTGAACAAGTTTTCTTATATGTTTTTCTATTTATCCTTAATAAAGTTATCTGATTGAGCAATAATAATAAGTTTATGTAAGTTTATTAATAAATATGTAGTCATAATTTGTACAAGGTAGTAAAAGTCTTATTTATGTTGTACAGATTTTAGTGGCAAAGTTTTTCTTGAACAAAAAATGAATTCATTTTTTGTTGAACCTGAAATAGTTATTTAAGTATAAATATAAGGCATTTATTCGTTATCAAAAATTTGCTGATATATGCATACTAAAGAAATTAGTATATTAAAAAATTAATGCTAGAAAAATTGGTGATGTTAGAAGAATTAGTGATGATTAAGATATTAGTAATGCTAGAAGTATTAGTAATATCAGAAGTATTGGCTAAAGGATTATATTAAATATATAAGGTATTTACTTATTATTAAAAATCAAGATGCTATAATCTTAAATAATTGTTATCATTATCAAAATATAAAGTTAAATATATAGCAATAGCATTTATTTTATTATAAAACAATTGGCAAAATAAGAACAATAATAGATTTGAAGCTAAAAATAAACAAGATTATTAAAATTCTTTAAGATAAGAGAACCAGTTATTATCTTTTTAAAGTAATTTTAATTAATCATGTTAAATAATTAATTAATGAAATTGATAAATAATTAAACTTATAAGAGTAAGTAATTTATGATGTAATATTTATTTTGAATAAAGAATAGTTTTATTGTTTATCGATATAAATAATTAGAACTGCTAATATCTGAAAAGTAAATAACTTATCTATAGAATTAAAATATCTTTAAAGTCGAATTTAATAGCTTGCAATATCAAATTATTTATAAATAATTATGGATAAGTTTGTAATTCATAGTGAAGAAGCTTTTTTATTAAACCAAAAACATAACAATAATATAAATGAAGATAGTAGACTTTCTCCAAGATTGGCTAAAGAAAATTCAAAAAATAAAAAATCAGATGACAAAAAACATAAAAGAACTGATTGGAACTCCAAATGGCCAAGACAGTTTTCATAGTTAGACTGATGTATTATTGATAGAAAGCCTTTTTTATTTTGTATTTGGTGTAAAAAATATCCAACTGCTGACAATATTTTTGTTAAAAGTTGTGGTACTTTTCGAAAAGATTATCTTAATCAACATATTAAAATAAATGGTTATATAAATATAATGAAAGCTTATTATCAACCAGCAAATCAAATAGATTTGTTTACTGGATTTTTTTTTTTTTTTTTTTTTGGAGTTAAGGTGAGGTCATGCCTCAGGTCTGTTTATTCGAACATATTGTTACAGT